ATACCAAAGATTTTTTGTTAATTTTGCTAGCTTGAAAATTGCATTGTGGTTAAGCAAGAATACAAACATGTATTTTAGGAATTCATTCTGAAAATACACAGGAGTGAAAAGGTATGATGTTTAGGTTTTGCTTTGAAATATACTAACAAAAGAAAAATAAACTTTTAAAAAGACAGCTAAAATAAATAATTTTTTAAACTTCATATTTTCTGAATCTGCTTGATCTGTATGAGAAATTCATTTCTCCAGTTTCCTATCTTAGTGTATATTTGAAAATATTCATAATAAAAATTACAGCAAGGATCATGCTTAATTTTTTAATCAGTAGCAACAGCCTTGGTAAAATCAGCTACAAATGAGAAAGACCACTGTCTCTGCTTTTATTCAGTGCTCTGCTGTAGGTTCTACCCAGGGCACTAGCACAAGAAAACAATATATTCAAAAGTATTGGAAAGGGGGAAACAACAACAACAAAAGCCTCCTTTGCAAATAACATGATTTTTCTCCCAGGGCCTTAGTATATTTACATTAAATGTTTCTTTTACCAGCAAATCTCCTCTCCCAGATATCTGCATGGTTAACACCCTCCCGTTCTTCAGGTCTCTGTCTAAACGTCACTTCCATAATGCCCACCCACTATTGAAAATTATACCAGCTCTCCACTTCCAAGGCTCTTCAGTTTTCTTTTCCTTCACAAAATACTTATTAATGTATAAAATACTATATAATTCACTAGTCAATGATGTTCATGCTTATTGTCTATAACCTCTCACAGCCCTTACCCCATGGAAGCAGGAATCTTTGTCTCCTGCACAAAGTGATGCACTCCCAGCAGTGGTGTGCTGGAGCCCACCCAGAACACTTCCCAGTGGTCAGTTGTGCATGTCTCTCCTCAATTCTGAGGTCAGTAAGGGCACACTGGGAGCTGGAAGTCTGCCATGGTGGGGAAGACTTTAATCATAGAAATTGACAAACTCAGCCCCTCTACTCCACCCGAGAGGCAGTTGTTCTACATTTACCAGAAGCCACTAATTCCCCTCATGTAGAACATGCACCTGCCACGTAGTGGGTACTCAATAAATATTTTTGAATAAACAAATATTTTGAAATAATTTAGAATGTTTCCAATGTCACATCAATCAGAAGCATTAACTAAATATTTTATCCAGAATAAACACATAAAATTTATAGGACAATGTACATAACATTGATTTAACTTTTTAAATAATGTTCAAATAAAACATGTTTCATCATAGCTGGATAATTCTGTATAACAAAGAAATGATTATTTACATCTTTTCTATGGTATTTGCGGTTCATTTTTCTTCTTTTGTTTTATATTAGGCCATTTGACAATTTTTTTATTTATACTCATTTTTTGAAGTCAGTAATAATTCTTATTAGGGTTTGCATTTTGAGCTAAGCTTTCTAATGGCAGGAATTTCTAAAGGATCTGAATGAACATTTATTTGTTTCCTAAAGAATTACTTTAACTATATGGGTTATGCCCAGAGTTGTATGTGATCCAACATCATCTATGAGTTAAATACACTTCTGAAATTACAGATTCAGTTGATAGAATAATAACACAATTAAGTGATAGTATTCAGTAAGTGGCAAGCCAATCAGACATCATGCTGAGGGGCTTACCTATGAAGGATAATATCACTGGAATTAATTAGAAACATACATTGGGATTATTCAGTAATATTCTGCCAATTCAGGTTTAAAGTTTTAAAATATTCTTATCTTTAACACTCTGATGTACTAAATGTTATTTTGGGATTCTAAACATGTTAAAGCAAAATATACTTGTAATTGAATTCTTCCTCCACTCTCTAAGGAGAGTAAAAGCTGGTAGCTGAACTACATATGTTTCGTTAGCCTAAAACATAATCACTCATCAACCTCAGAATACTCGAAATAATTGGACACATTATTAAAAAGCAGCTGTCCTATTAGCTTGTGGATAGAAGTGTAATAGAGATAAGTCAGTCTAAATTAAAAGTCAATTATTATGAGGCCTAGAGAAAAGCTAAAGAGCTATTAGGATCCAGGAATAGGAAGGAAGGAAGGGATGGGAGGGAAGAAAGGAAGAAAGAAAGAAAGAAAAAGAAAGGAAGAAGGAAGGAAGGATGGAAGGAAGAAAGGGAGGGAGGGAGGGAAGGAGGGAGGAAAAGAAAGAAAAGAGACAATTCAGCACCTGGGAGGCTAAGAAAAAATATAATGGAGAAGAAAACTAAGGATTTTTCAAATGAAATGCAGAGCTTTGTAAGATAGAAATCAACTCCCTTTTTCTCTAAAATCAATAAAAACCACATTGCTCACAAATACACATGTGCTGGAGATTAAATACTTAACTTCTTTCTGCTTCAAAGTCTTTATCTGAATAGTAATAACACTCACCTCATACAGGTTTTTTGGTTGCTGTTTGTTTAGAAAAATGAGATAATTTTGATATATAGTCAGTATCTGGTAATCAATAAAATCTCAAACACTGATGGCTACATGTATTATTGTTACAGAGTTTAAGAAACAAAATATGAAAAGAATCACTACTTGAATATAAAAATAAAGGCAAAGGATAAGAATTTTCATCAGTAGGAAATCAGTTTCAGTGAAATATGTTGAATAAGTATTTTCAATCTGTACTTTAACATGTATCAATTTGTAAAACAAATTCAGCTCACCTCAGTGTCTATCTATGTATTGCCCTGTGTGTTAACTAGTTTTTTATTCATCTTTTCCTACTGTTTTTTTCTGTCCTACTTTCAAATACTTTCATCTTTCAATCCTATAAATAATCTGCACTCCTAGCAATGAAGGCATACATGCTTTACGTCCATATTTATAACTGTGAAGAAAATAAATTGTAAAATGTTAAATTTATATTACATATATGTGTTTATATAGTATATGTGATGTGCATTGTATTCTTTTAGTAATAAAATTTCCATCTCTCATAGAAGAAAATGTGGAAATCAAGTTAAAAATATCTAATATCCAATGCCAGACTTCCAAATACTTATATTCTTGGTTCATAAATATTCCCATAAAGTCATGTCATACATACAAATAGAAACTGAGGATGAGTCCAGAATTTATGGAAGAACAATAGGGACTTGTTATACAATCTTAGAAAAGTCAGATTCTAAATCGAACTTTCACACACTCAGCATCACAGGTTGTTTATGAATTTGCCTCATTTACCTCAATCATTTTGCTTTTTTAATATTTTCTTAGCCATATTTATAAAATGATTTATCTGTGTCTTTTAATGATGCCTCACTGGCACTCTGTTTACTTAATCAATTCCCCTGAGCAAGCAAGAAAAACACAGATAAAAGAAGGCCAGTTCCATATGTATGACATACACAGAGAACATTCCTATTTTCTATTTTTTGAAGAAGCATTTAGGGAAAAATATAATAGTTTCTGAAGCCTAAGGAAAATATTACTTATATTTTATACCTGTATAACCACAGATTTGCAAAAGCTCACTTAAAATATTTATATTAATACAAAGAAGCATGTCTTAATAAATAGTGTTTTGTGTTATATGAAAAGGGTCAAATGTAAGAGTACTATACTAGTTCACTCGGGTATTAATGAATTTGTACATGGAGCTTCAGTAGGAGACAAAAAGCAAGTATGAATTCTATTATAAGAAAATATGCCCCAAAATTTGCAATAACAGGAATGAAGGATATTGTGGGTCAATTATCAGTCTAACAATAATGAGAACTATAATCCTTGAGAGCTATGACAAAGTTAACCACCACACTTGCTTTGAGAGTATGACAGAAATCAAAAACATTGCTAACACAATTTACCAGCCCTGAAATTATATAAATATGGAAACAAATCAGATAATAAAATTTGAGACTAAATCATCAAGAAGAACCAGGACGTAAGTAAACTTGTTGTTGTTGTTATTATTATTACTATTATTATTATTATTCAGTGTAATATACATTATTCTATCTCATTTAAATGTTTGAAGTATTATTCACATATGTGTTTGTGAACTTTCAACTCTTTTCACATTTAAAATTAAATGCTTGTTTCCTCCCAAGAAGACTATTAATGGAGTCCTAAAGAGGCAGCACAGCAATAAGTCTTGGGTTGGTCATTAATTTTTTTTCTAAGTTAAATGGCATGCTCTTACAGAAATAGGATTATAAAAAAGACATTCTCCATTGGAAAAATATGTGCTTCCCAGTAAATGTTATTTGGACCATTTACTTGTTCATTTGCTAAAGTAATGTTGTTTTAAAAAAAAAACTGCATTATGCATGTATGAATTAAGTTGTTTCTAAGCAACTATTTATTTTAGTATTAGAAGCTGCCCTTTCTTGTCTTTTGGCCTTTTTATCAGAAAAGGAAAAAAAATTTTGATGTCAATCAAAGCCTTAAGAAAGAAATTTAGGAAAGAATGCCAGCAAAACATTCCCATGGATAAGCACACAAGTTCTAAAGTGAGATGATTACTATGTTGACTTGTTTAAACTTGTGAAAGTATCCTAAACTATGTGGGCCTCAGTTTCTCAAAATGTAAAGTGTGGAGGTAGGACTGCACAACTTCTCGTAAACTTTCAAACTCTATATTTAGGTTATCTGCAACCCATATTGGTTTTTATAATACTGAGGAAAGAAAAAGAATCAATGAGAGTATTTTTGTATTTCTTTCAAAAGAAGCTAAATATTTTAAAGAATAATTTCAAGCTTAATTTTAAAGAAACGTTAGAAGAAATAGCTTCTTCTTAAATGTTATCACAAGTTTTTATTTTATCCACAGCCTGTGATAACGTATTTACAAAGGTGAGAGATCAATAGTTAACTTCATTACTCAAATGAAAGGTCGAATGGAAATTAGAAAAAGTTATTGAAGGGGACCCACATTTTTAAATTGCATAGATTATTCATTATCATTGATACTTTTAAAATGTTATATTCTATCCTCAGACTTATTTTAACTTTTTTATGTTCTATAGGGGGAAGGTAAATTTTCTGTTCTAAAGTAGGGGAGAAGGATCAGCAATGAAAAATCACACAGTACCCACAGAATTCATTCTTCTAGGACTATCCAATGACCCAGAGCTTCAGATTGTGATTTTTCTCTTTTTAATCATCACATATATATTAAGCGTCACTGGAAATTTGACCATCATCACTCTCACCTTGGTGGACTCCCATTTACAGACCCCTATGTATTTCTTTCTCAGGAACTTCTCTGTATTAGAAATTTCATTTACCACTGTCTGTATCCCTAGATTTCTGGGCACAATTATCACCAGGGACAAAACTATTTCATACAACAATTGTACCACTCAGTTGTTTTTCTTTATCTTCATGGGTATAACTGAATTTTATCTTCTAACTGCCATGTCCTATGATCGCTATGTGGCTATCTGCAAACCCCTGCATTACACAACCATCATGAATAAAAGAGTCTGCATATTGCTTGTCTTTTTTGCTTGGCTGGCAGGATTCCTAAATATTTTCCCTCCAGTTATTCTTTTTCTCCAGTTAGATTACTGTGGCTCCAATATTATTGATCACTTTGCTTGTGACTATTTCCCCCTCTTGCAATTGTCCTGCTCAGACACATGGCTCCTAGAAGTAATTGGTTTTTACTCTGCAATCATGATTCTGCTTTTCACTTTGGCCTTAATAATTCTATCCTACATGTTCATCATTAAGACAATTCTGAAACTGCCTTCTGCTAGTCAGAGAAAAAAGGCATTTTCTACATGCTCCTCTCACATGATCGTCATTTCCATCTCTTATGGAAGCTGCATCTTCATGTATGCCAACCCTTCAGCAAAAGAAAAGGCATCCTTGACAAAAGGAGTAGCTATTTTGAATACTTCTGTTGCTCCTATGATGAATCCATTTATATATACCCTGAGGAACCAGCAAGTGAAGCAAGCATTTAAGGATACCATCCAAAAGGTCATGTTTCATTCTAGTAAATGAAAGTGTTTGTAGCATTAAAAGAATAAAATTTTGTCAATGTATTCTATTATTCACACTCTCTCCAAATTCTCTTTCCTTCACTATTTACATTATATATATTTGGTTATGTGTTTTTTTCCCTCTTGTTTATTCCCATATAAAATCTCCCCCATTATGAACCCAATAAATTTGACAAAGCTAAATATTGCCTCAGAACTTTCCTGTAAATTGTATTATTTAAATGCATTTGGAAGAAGTGAAAAGCACAGGTTAATGTTACAGTTTTGAGTAGAAGTGGTTTGCTTTTGACGAGACACAGGCCATTAGTTTGATGGAAAGAGTGTTAGAATAGAAGTGGATTTTTGAACTTTTCATTCATACTAGGTAATACAAAGGAAAGTTATTAGGAATTTTTTATTCTATTTGGCAATTCCATGAAATCAAATAACCACGATCACCAGAGGGTTTGAAATAAAATATAAGTATCTACTCAAACATTTTTAAAAGATCAGAAACTCATATATATTCAAGTTCTTTATGCTATTAATAATATCTATGATAATAATGAGAAGGAGGAGAAGGAAGAGGAAGAGGGGTAGAAGATAACATTTTTTCAGCAATTGCCATATTTCAGATCTATTCTAATTGTTTTCTGCATGTTGGCTCATTGAATTCTGCCAACAACTTTATGAGGTACCTATAATTGTTATTCTCTTTCAGTGAGAGGTGTTTTTCTTTAGGTAGATCTAATATCTCAAAAAATTAAAAACAGAGAACAGATAATGTAAAATAATGTCAAGTAAAATGGATGAAAAGTGGTGAGAGTTCAGCTTTCTGGAGAAACAAGTTTTAATCTAAGAGTCAAGAAATCCTTTTAGGGTTTTGGGAAGCAGAGAAAAACAGCATCTGTTGATAGTATTCTGAACAGTATTAGATACATCATATGCAATATTCATTTTGCAAAACCTCTTACAGAGTGGGTGTTACAGTTCCTACTACATAGGTGTATAGAATGAAACTGAGGTTGAGAGTTCAATGTCACAGAGATATACCTTTCTGAACTGAAATTTAAATCTACTTTTTCTTTTTAACATCAAAATCAAGACTAGTAGGGTAACTGTCACTTGAACAATGACTTTCATTTGTAAAAATTTATGAATAGAAATTCATGTTAAATATTAGAACTGTTAAAGGGTTTTCTCATTCTGGCTTTACTATGATCAAATAAAATATACCTCAAAAAACAGGGAGGGGAGGGTATAGCTCAGTGGTAGATTGTGTGCTTAGCATGCACAAGGTACTAGGTCCTATCCCTACTTTCATTAATAAGTAAATAAACAAACAAACAAATAAATAAATAAAAACAGTTGTTAGGTGGCATAATATAAAATAAAAAAGAAGAAAAATGAACATTAAAAAAAAACCTTAGAAAATATCCAATTCATTATTTCTTTGTCATACTAAGTTGTCTAGCCATGATGAAAATACACATTTATTTGAACACTATTTTAAAAGCTAAATCACTGTTGTGTATGTTATTATATAAATTATATGTGTTTATTTTGGGTAAAATGTTTAGTTAAGCTGCTGATTACCGTGACATTGGAACCATTCTAAATTATTTTAAAGTAGTTATTTATTTAAAAAAAATTTATTGAGTATCTACTACATGGTAGATGCATGTTCTGCACAAGGAGGATTAGTGACTTCTGGTAAATGTTTAACAGCTGCCTGCTGGCAGATGGAGGAGAGGAGCTGATTTGTAGAGTTTGTCAGTTTCTATGATGGTCTCTCACCATAGCAGATTTCAAGCTACAAATGTGCCCTTGACTGACCACAAAAATTGAGTAGAGACTTGCACAATTGGCTTCTGGTGTTAACCATGCAGATACCTGGGAGAGGAGACTTGCCAGTGTAAGAAACATTTAGTGTAAATACACTAAGGTTTTAGGAGGAAAATCATGTCATTTGCAAAGAAAGATTTTTTTTTGTTTCCCTCTTTCCAATAATTTAAAATATATTTTTATGTTTTCTTATGCTAGTGCCCTGAATAGAACCTCCAGCAGAGCACTGAATAAAAGCAGTGACAGTGGTCATTCTCTTCTTGTAGCTGATTTTACCAAGGCTGTTACTATTGTTTAAAAAAATTAGGCATATTTGCTGTAACTTTTAAATCATATGCTAGGATAGAGAACTGGAAAAGTAAATCTCATGTACAGATCAAGCAGATACAAAAAATATGAAGATTTTTAAAAATACTTGCTTTAACTGTCTTTTTAAAATTTCTTAAAAATTTGTTGACATATTATAAACCAGAACTTAAACATATCTTTCACTACTGTATACTTTCAGTATGAAACTCCTAAAATACAAGCTTGTTTTCTTGCTTAACTGTAGTGCAATTTCCAAGCTAGGAAAATTGACATGCACACACACACAAAACTTTGTCGTCATTTATCACCTTGCCCATACTGACATATCCCCAGTCGTTCCAAAATATCATTTTATACTTGACTTGTTCAAATTAGAGCCAAACAAGGAACATACAGCCTACCTGGCTGTGATGATCGAGTCAGGTCTTTTATGCTACTGAAACAATGTTCTGTTCTATTTTACTAAGAGATTTTTAAAAATCATGAATGGCCATTGCATTTTATCAAAGGAGGTGTGATTTTCTTTTTTCCACTTTTTTTAATCTTTAATTTTTTAATGTTTAAATTCCTCAAGAACGCTTTCTAAAGATCAATTACTTTTGGGATAAAATCATATGGAACATGAAATAGTAGTTTGCTAATTTCCTTCAGTATTTTATCTTCTAATTTAACAGTCAAGTTGCTGGTGATTTTTCATTTCTCAAATTATCTTTTGATACCAAGAATGACATAAAAGAACAAAAATGAGTTAGAAATGTTTACCTCTTCTTTTCTTCTGGAACTGTTTTATAAGATTGCTCTCGTTCATGCTCATTATAAAAAAATTAAAGTTGGTGTTAAATTTAAAAATCTTACATCTATTACTGAATTTTCACATTTTAGTCAAACTACATTACATTAAATGAGAACATGTGGGTCAATGTTTATAGAAAAATCTAAGACAGGGGTTGAAAAACTATGGTCCACGGGCCAAATTTGGCCCACCATATATTTGTGTTCAATAGTTTATCAGAACACACCTAAGCCCGTTCATTTACATGTTGTTTATAACTGTATTCACACTACAAAGAGGGAGAGTTGAGTAGCTGCATGACAGACACTATGACCAGCAAAATCTAAATTATTAATGCATTGTCCTTTACAGAGAAAGTTTATTAACCTCTCATATCGATAATCAAAATGTTCAGATTCCAAACATTTACAATAACCACTAAGGAGGCCGTATAGAGTGTTACAGAGGGATGCATTCTCTCCTAAGACCAGCATAAACTCCTTCATATCATTTGTAATAGTTTTACAGTTCTTTTAATTGTCAGATCTATACTAGTCTGAATTTTATGGTATATTTTTATTGAGTACTTAAGAACATACAAACATCAAATCTAAACTTTATTATTTTCGAATGTTTCCAGTTTAGTTTAGTAACTGTAGTTTCAGTATGAAGGAAGGAAATAATAACTCATTACCTCTCTGCAAAATGAAAATGTCACTTTTTTAAAATATGTTGTTTTGTTTGTTTTTCAGCACATCATAGACCTGAGTCTGTCAACTGCATATACTACATGACTATCAAGGAGAATCTGGTTCAATGAATTAAGAATTACAGCCTTTGTTTTGCAGAAAAAATGGTTAAAAAAATTTAGGATGATTTTGAGCAACATTATTATTATTTCAGCTTTTGAATTCATGGAAAATGGGAAAAGAAAAGTTTGGGCCAGAATTGCATGATCCTCTATGATCACCACAGAAATCCTAATTAGCATGTTTTCCAATATGATGCCATATTCTGATGCTTAAAAAAGAACATAAATTTTTTTTAATTTTAATTTTAATTTTATATACAGTGAAACTTTGCCATTGTTAGCTATTGTCTTCTGATTTAACTAGGCTTGTCTTTTAAGTAAGCAATTATGTAAATAGTATGTGTAAGCTATTATATTCAAATAGCCACAAATATGAGAAAGTTACAAAACTCTTAGCTATTGATTATCCAAAGACCAGCTTAACATCAGGCATTTGTTCAAATGCACTACTGAGCCACAGCAAATGTAGTCATATTTGGCATCTAGTAATATTTCTCTCTCCAGGCTTCTATTAAGAATTGTTATATACATAAGTTAATTTTGAAGTTCCAAAAAAAATGGGGCATTTCATACTATTTCCCTGAGCAACTGTGTATTCAAAACAGTGTTTTGAATTGATAAATTATATGGCACAGAAAATTTTAAACTTAGTAGTGAGAAATGTTTTTCATTTCTCAAAAAATATAATTACATTATTCTTTCAGTTGTCCTGTTTTTCACATAGTTACTAAGTGGTCCACAATGTGGCGGGGATAGTATGTGTTACATTCTAGGAACACTGTCAGATTTTGCTTATGGTCATTGTGTACTAAATTAAAAATAATGTTAAACATGATTTAATATTTCCTCAATTTCTAGAAAGGGTGTGTCCTGGTGAACCATAAGACGCAGTTCTCTCTTGTGTGCTCTTGCCCCAACTCTTTCTGTCTTTCTTTCATTTTCTAAAAATTATTCTGAAAAATTGGAATTAAAAAAGATTTC